CCATCAGTGTTAATTACTGCCTTATCATAAGTCTTGAAGTGTAGCCAGGTGTGCTGGTGCATGTCCATAATCCCAGTATTCTAGAAACGAGGCTACCCTACCTTTGCCTCAGCAATAGCAACAAGAAAATCTCAGTAGTGAAACAATCAAAAAATTTTACATCTTAACAATGGACACCAGGGTAGTTTCCCAGCCCTAACCCGATTGCTGCTTGCCCGCCTGCTCAGCTGAGCCTTTCCTGGGACAAGGAGGTTTTCTAACACTGTTTTTCTTCTTTTTCTCCTTTAAAGAAATGCAGCCACATTTTTTTAAGAACATCGTCTTGACGGGAGGGAACTCACTTTTCCCAGGATTCAGAGATCGGGTTTACTCAGAGGTCCGCTGTCTGACGCCAACAGACTATGATGTCTCTGTCGTGCTGCCCGAGAAGTGAGTGCCGGTTTGCAAAGGAGCAGAGCTGTCTTGTGGGAAGGTGGCTTGCGGATGTGTTTGCAGCTTGGCTCTGTGTAGATTTATTCCCTAGTGGGAGCCTCGTTTTCTTTCTTTGAAAAATGAAAGTTTAAGTCTTAAGTGAGTTAGAAGAGATGACATGTAACGTGCCAACCACAACATTTGACACGTGATAGGTGCTAAGTAACGTGAGCTCTTTCCCGTGTGTCAGTCCTGGTTCCTGGGATATTTATAGGCAAAGAAGCCGAAATCTTAATAGATTTATCTTCACCATACTTAATCTTGTGATGAGTTCTGAAGAATAGAAGTTTAAGAATTGAATTATTAAGATAAGCTATATCAGTTCATATCTTTTGGAATTTTTTAAATTCTAAATGTTCTCAGTGAACCTTTAGAGTTGACTAAACTGGAGTTTTTGTTTTGTTTTTTAATTAAAAATTGTTGTGAAGTCAGGTATGGTGGTGCTTGCCTGTAATCCAAGCTTTGGGAATTTAGAGACAGAAGAATCAGGAGTTCAATGCCAAACTCATCTACATAGCAGTTTTGAATTTAGCATGGTCTGTGTGAGACTGTTCTTGAAAAAAAGAAAAAAACTAAGAGAAATCTTTTTTAATGTCTACTATGCTTCTTATGAAAAAGAGCAGATAGTATAATTTCAACATAAGCAGTTAAGGTAGAACTACAGAGCTGTGGAAATGGTGTCGAATACCATCTTACTCGGAGCTTAGCATTGAAGAGAGAAGGCCTGTGAGTCCTCGATTCATGTGGTCTGTTCACAGCAGTGGCCAGAGTAAAGCCCAGGTATGTTACCTGAATCAGATGAGTTTTTATTTTATTGGTGTGTGTGTGTCTGTGTGTGCTACAGGCATGTGTGTGGAGGTCAAAGGACAACTTTATGGAGTTGGTTTTCTCCTTCTATCTTGATGTATGTCCCAGGGATTGAATTCAGGTTTAGATAGCAAGAACTTGTCTAGTAAGTCAGCTACATCAACTGCCCAAAACAATAGCTCTTCTTTTGTTTGTTTGAGGTAGTCTCACCAGCTAGCCTGAGACTCACTCTGTAGACCAGGATGGCCTCGAATGTGTAGACATTACTCTGCCTCTGTTCCTACCTCCTGGGTGCTAGGATTAAAAGCATGTACCACCATAGCATGGCTAACTCAGAGCTTGCCTAGTGTCAGTGGCAGAATTACAAATAAGATCCTATTCTAATTAAATCTAAAGGTTTTTTTTTTTTTTACACTAAAGTATTTTTCAAAGCCTATAGTAGTTTATAGAAGGCTCTCATTGACATCGCTTTTTATTTTCCTTTGTTTTTGTTTTTTGGGACCCAGTGTTGCTTGATATGTAGCCCAGCAGACCTTAAACTGGCAGTCATTATGCCCATGGTCCCAAGTGCTGGGATTACAGATATGCACCACCTATAAAATTTCCATTTGTAGTTATTGGGTAAAAGGATTAAAGAATTGTTAAGTACTGGAATAATTTTTGGTCAGCAGTAGCCTTCATGTACTTCACGCTGGGTTTTTTGTCTTGCACTGATCGATTGTACGGTTTTCCTTTCAGAAGGAAAATGCAAACACAAATATAAAAAACATAAATAATCCCATTAATAAAGGTTGCAAGTGCAGTAGGTGAGACATTTCTCTTTACCTCCTCTGATCTCAGCCGGGGAAGGGGAGAAGGAGAGCTGAGTCAGCACAAAGCACTGGTGGCTGTAGACAGCACAGCCAAGTGGAGTGTTGACTTGGATTGTTCCTCCTGTCTGTGCTACCGTGTGACTGCCAGCTGTGTTTACAGCAGCTGCAGTATAGACTGAACGTGGCGCTGAGACGGACGAAGGTCCACAGGACAGCTCAGGGGCAGGGTAGCCTTGGACCCACAGTGTCCGTGGCCTGCTGTGAGAATCATCAGGTTAGCACATTCCTGGCTTCGGTTTGGGTCAAAAGTTAGAACATTTTCCCGCTTACTCCTCTCCAGCTTTTGTTTGTGTTCTGGGGTTTTTATAAAAGTAGAGGGACCATAAAATAGGGGACATGGCGGGAAACAATCCACTGTTCTGTACTGACGAGGAAGAGTTTATGTCTACACCATAAATGAGATTCGCTAAGTTGAGCAGAACCTGCAGTCTTTTAGTTCTCGGTCAACATCAGTTGGTGACGGTGTTCATTTGTGTAATCTCTATTGCAGCCCTATTACTTACTCCTGGGAAGGTGGAAAATTGATATCTGAAAATGATGATTTTGAAGATATGGTGGTTACAAGAGAAGATTATGAAGAAAATGGACATAGTGTCTGTGAAGAAAAATTCGATATTTAAGAAACATCTCTAAATGAAAATCTTGGAAAGTTTAATTTCAAAGTTCCTTTTAAAGGAGGTTAAGGACTGTGTTATTTTTTCATCATAAGACAAAGTCTTCAACTTATATAAATATTCTGAGTCATGGCTGATGTTCACAGACTTCTAAGGTGAGCTATTGCCATCAAGAGTGACTCAGTTCACATTTGAGTAGTTGGACTACTATAACAACACCTGCACTGTTTCTGAGAATAGATTTGTTTGTCATGAGAAAGTAAAGAGTAAATGTTTAGTTCTTCATACTTGAAAACCCAGATTTTGTTATCTCACCAGTCAGTTTGGCCTAGAGATCTTTGTGTAGTTTTGACTGTGATCGACTAAAGTGTTTGCCGACCGTTAAGATTCTGCTCTCTTAGAACTAAGTATTTTATTTAAAATTTGTTATTCTTATTTGTACATAATAAAGTTGGAAAGACCAATATTATATATGTATGTATAATGTTTATTTTTTTTATTTTTATTTTATTTCTTTGGTTTTTTGAGACAGGGTTTCTCTGTAGCTTTGGAGCCTGTCCTGGAACTAGCTCTTGTAGACCAGGCTGGCCTCGAACTCACAGAGATCCGCCTGCCTCTGCCTCCTGAGTGCTGGGATTAAAGGCGTGCGCCACTACCGCCCAGCTATAATGTTTATTTTTAACTTAGTAAAAGTTTGAAAGAGTGAAGATGTTTATAGTGTTTGTGGTCACCAGTGTTCTACAAAACCATAGTGTTGTGTTTTAGAAGTTCTTTTATGTGACCCACAGTCAACATAAAGATATGAAGCTTAGTGACAGTACTCTTGCCAACCACGCTCCAATATAAGGAATGAACTGGAGATTTCCTTGAGTTAAAACATGTCATCTTGAACTAAAGAGGCTCATCAAGACTCAAAAAGCAAACAACTCGAAAGTCTCAAAAAGTCCCTAAAACTTAGCAGATTCACAAGGCCTCTTCCATCCCAGCATGTGTAAAGAGTAGTGCCTGCTGAGAAGATACTTTCTGACCTGCAAGTCATGTGGGGCGCTCCAAGGTGTCAGCTTCTTCTGGGCTTTCAGTGACACAGCTATCTGAGATATCCCTGTTTCTGTATGTGTCCCTCACCCACGTTCCTGTCATTAGCCCCAATAAGTTCATTGGTTCATGAAGTTGGACTTTGGCAATATTGTTACTTTGATCTGTTGTCGGTTTCCTGTCTGGGTGACTAGACATTTGTTTATCCCTTGCCCCAAATAGCATCACACAACACAGTGACAGTATGGGTCTAATTGGTCAAATATGTTGCTTGGACTACATGTGTGACAGACAAGAAGAGCAGATGGGGTCTTGTATCTGTAGAAGTCAGAACTGTCAAAAACGGAAATGCCGTAACACAAGATGGATAGCTGCGTGAAGAATGAAACTAGGTGCTCATCTCGTACCCTGAGCGATATGCAGCTACAAATGGATCAAGGACCTCAGCATAAGACCCAATCCCCGAATCGGTTACAGGAGAAAGCAGGGAATATAGAGGCACAGGAAAGGACTTTCAGCCGACCACTGACAAATGGAACCTTGTGAGATTAAACAGCTGTGTAGCATAGGCTACCATCACCTCTTGAAGAGGTAGAATTGGGGGACTGGAAGGAGAAACCCTTGTCAGCAGTATATCTGACAGAGGTTTAGTGTCCAATATGCAAAAAAAAAAAAAAAAAAGCCAAGCAGTGGTTGTGCACATGTTTAATCCCAACATTTGGGAGGCACAGGCAGGTGAATCTCATGAGTTTGAGTTTGAGGCCCCTTGGTCTACAGAGTGAATTCCAGGCCAGGCCAGGCCAGGGCTACACATAGAAACCCTAATGTTGCAGGATACTCGATCACAATGAACCCTTAGATTGCATTACTTATTGGAAAAACCTGACTCTAGCTGTGGTGTGGCCCAGCCCTTAGTCCAAGAGCTTTCTGTTTATTGCAAACAGGATTAAATAAAATCAATCATAGGTCAAGAGGTGAAGCAAGCAACTAATTGGCAGGAAGTAGCCATAGAGAGTAAGAAGGCGTCAGAAAGATGGAGAAAGAGATGCACAGGAAGTAATAGGGAGGGACTTTGAGTTTGGTGGTCCTTTCTGGCTTGGGACAGCAGAAAAGACCTCTCTTTCTGAGACATCGGCAAAGGAGGCCAGGTCAGCTGGCCCCTTTCTCTGCCTCTCGGAGCTAGCAGGTTTCCATCCCAGCATTTGACTCTCAAGTCTTTATTGGTAAAATAGAAGGAGAGAGGCTTAGTTAAAACATTTGTCTCCCTATGTGGAGGCGGCACAGCTGAGGCAGCGGCTGTGCTGCAGATATACCACCACCACCCTAAACACCAAGAAAACAACCCGATTAAAACTTGGGGTATGAATCTAAAAAGAGCTCTCAAAAATAAATAAAATAACTAACTTTCCTTAATGTTCAGTATTCCTAGCCATCAGGGAAATACAAATTAAAACTCCTTTGAGATTTCATTTTCTCACAGAATGACTAAGATAAAAAAAAAAAGCAAACAAACAAAACACCCAGCAAAGCAAAAATAAATGACAACCAAGACTGTGGGTGTGGAAAAAGGGGAACAATTACTGTTGGTGGGCATGCAAACTGGTGTAGCCAATATGTAAGTAAGCATGGCGGCCCCTCAAATGACTGGAAATAGAGCCACCGCACAATCCAGCTGTAACACTCAGCATATTTGCAAAGATCTTCATAGAACTTCTTGTGCATTCATTTTCATGGCTGTTTAATTCACAATTGCTAAGAAATGGAAGCAACCTAGATGTCCATCAGCACCACAAGAGTGTGAACCCTGTCCCCCAGCAATAAACTGCCTATAGCTCCTCAGGGACGACCGAAGCCTTTATGAGCCCCTCCCTCATCCATGATGGAATGCTGATGGCCGGTCATGTATGTGTGGGTAGTCACTGCTGCCATGAGTTCACAGGTGTGTCAGCCACGCCACGTTCAGAAGACAGCATTTCACAGTATTTCCCATCCTCCGACTCAATGTTCTTTTTATTCCTTCTTCTGGAATGTTCCTTGAGCCTGAGGGGATGATGTGGGTGTCCCAGACTGAGCATGCGTTAGTCTCTAAAATTTTCCTGTTGCTCACCGTAGACCGAAGCGACTCTGATCAAGACTGAGAGCAGCAGTAATCTATGGCATAAAAATAAATACACAGAAGGTAGCTTGACACCTTGTTGACACACTTAGCAAAGCAACGGTATAGGAAATAACTTCCCCTTCTGCCCTAGAGTGGATGACCTCCCTAGCATAGGCTTTTGACCCGGTTTACAGTTAATTTCCTGTGAGTGGGCCTCAAAATCAATCTTAAAGTGGTTTATAGTCATACCACTCTGGTTATCAGTGGGCACACACGGCCTGGCAGCTGGGTTTGCAGCTAAGTAAAACTGTTCATGACGTCTTCTCAGCAATCTGCACAATGCCTTCTTGACCGAGCCTCCAAGGAGGAAGCTTCCAGTTCCATGTCTGTAACATGAGGGCCAGCTTGTTGGGGTTTCTGTCCCGTCCAGTACCCCAACAAGCCAGCAAGTCCCAAGGAAAATCACACGGAGTCTACATCAGGTTATAAACTGATTGGCTCATTAGGTCAGGCTTCTTGTTAACTCTTATAACTTATTTTAACCCATTATTCTCATCTATGTTAGCCATAATGGCTCCGTACCTTTTTCAGCTGGGCAGGTTACATGCTGTCTCTTCGGTGGTCTGCGCAGGAGTGGCTGAGAGAGCTTCTGCTTCCAGAATATCCCCGGTCTTTTTGCTCCACCCCTACTTCCTGACTGGCTTTCCCGCCTATATTGCCTGCCTGGCCAATCAGTGTTTTATTAAAATACAATTGACACAATACAGACAATTCTCCCGCATCACATGCCAGTTTACTTTCTCTATCTCCTGCCCCCAAAGTGTCTGATGTCTTCAGCAACAGTCTTCCCATCTAGTTTCCGTGAACGATAAAGAGTAATGATAATGACTTGTACTGTTTTGGGGGGCCGGTTAGTTTTTAATCATTGACTGGTTAATGGTTAGGTTTGGTATCATGTAGAAATCTTTTTTTTTAATTAATTAATTAATTTATTATTATGTATACAATGTTCTGTCTACATGTGTGCCTACAGGCCAGAAGAGGGCACCAGACCTCATTACAGATGGTTGTGAGCCACCATGTGGTTGCTGGGAATTGAACTCAGGACCTTTGGAAGAGCAGGCAATGCTCTTAACCGCTGAGCCATCTCTCCAGCCCCCTCATGTAGAAATCTTTTAGAAAGATTTCTATTTTGTATGTGTCTGTTTGCGTGAGTGTAGGCTACATTTGTGCATGTGGCCTACAGAAACCAGAAGAGCATGTTGAATCCCCCAGAGCTGGAATTACAGGCAGCTGTGAAGAACCTGATGCGGGTGCTGGGTACCAAACTTTGGTCCTTTGCAAGAGCAACAAATCTTTGTTTAGTTTGGTTTTGTTTGGGAGGAGGGGGGCTGAGTTCGTTTTTTGGTTGGTTTGTTTTTTGGTTGGTTGGTTAGTTTGGTTTGGTTTTTGGGGAGGGGGTGATTTTTTTGAGACAGGGTTTCTCTAAGCAATAGTCCTGGTTTTCCTGGAACTCGCTGTGGAGACCAAGCTGGCCTTGAACTCACAGAGATCCCCTGACTCCCAAGGGCTGGAATTAAAGGCTTGAGCCACCACTCAGCAAGTGTTCTTACCCACAAGTCATCTCTTCAGCCTTCCTTTATCCATCTCTGAAGTGATGAGTTTTACCTTGACTTTGAACTTGAACAATTAGAGTCATGTTCTCATACATCTATTAGTACTTTGGAAGTGCTGTGTTCTTTTTGGAAACAAAACAGAACTGTGACTTCCAATCATGACTACAAGAGAAAATGTACAGAGACTCAAGTCAGTGCTTCTGATGCAATGAAAAGAACCCTCGGGTCCAGGTCAACTAACCTCATCTATGTGTTTCACAACCTGAGAGACAATGTTTGAGTTCAGATTTTCAAACTTCATTACAGTAAGTAATGAAGACATACTTATTATGTCTAGAGGCATTCCACTGTATAAACAGCATTCTCGATGACCCTGATACGGGTAGACTCTGGCCACACTTTGAACAACGGTAGCCTAAAAAGAAGCACTTATAAACTAGCCTAGCTCATGCCAGAGAGTGTGTGTCTGTGCTTCTTTTTTGAGACAGACTCTTGGTATGCTGTCTAGCGAGAGCCTGAGGCGCTTTCCAGGCTCTTTCTACTTCTGATCTACCAAGATGGGAAGAATCCCAGTAGCACCTCCCTGCTGCCCTGAACCCCACCATGCCGGCAAAATCGTGATGGTGGACTGCAAACTCTTAAACCATTAGACCAAACAAATCCTCCCTCTCTTAAAAACTACCTCTCACCATCTTAACTACTTCTAAAGTTCCACTTCTTCCAGAAACCCTCCCACAATGCTTCTCTACCAATTTCCAGGTTACACTCTAAGCCCAAGCTTAAATACTGCGTTCCCTCTGAAGCCTTTCCGATGTTTTAGGAAACCAGCTATATCTGGAGTGACTTCATGTTCATGATTGCTGCTACACTGGATTTATTTTTCTAGGAAAAGGGACCATGATTCATCCATTTCATATCTCCAGCATCATTACTAATGTAGAGAAATGTCAGATTATCATACCCACGATAGACTGAATTGGTAGTATTATTGGTCATCAAGTTATGACAGACATGGGCTGGATTTGCACCTCAAATGTTTTGGTTTTTATGTTCAAAATTCCTTTTTTGTTTGTTTTAGTTTTTGAGACAGGATTTCTCTGTGTAGACCTGGCTGTCCTGGAATTTGCTCTGTAGACCAGGCTGGCCTCGAACTCAAAGATCCTCCTGCCTCTGCCTCCCAAGTGCTGGGATTAAAGGCGTGCACCACCACCTTTCTGGCATATAATCATCATAAATAAAACTCTTCCAATCCACTTAGAATGGAGAGGGGGGAGCTCCCAGAAGAAGAAAGTCTGAGAATGTAGGTGTCTTCTCTATGATTTAAGGTATATAGACGGATAAAAACTTCACCTCTAAATGAATTCTGTTCTGAATTAGAAAATTATTTGTTTACTTGGTTTTACCTGGCAGAGAGAAAACTGTCCAGTGGCACTTGTTAAAGGAGACTTTCCTGGACCATCCTGATAGGTGTAGGCACCACTTCCACTACTATGGAAGTTAAAAATGGGGAATGATACTGGGCTTAACTCTGTGTCTGTCCAAAGGACGTTGGCGTTTACTGCAGAGAAGGAAGTTGGGGACTTGAGTGTGTTTCTGGAGCTTATGTGTTGGGATGTAATCCCAGCGAAAGTGCTTCTGGGAGGTGGGGTCTTCAGCAGATCATTAGGTCACAGGGGGGAAGGAGTCTGCCCTCATGAAAGAGTTAAGGTAGAATATGAGTTTAAAATGTGTTACATTTGTTTATGCCATGGAACATTTGTTTAATGATGCAAAGATGTGTTGCATTCCTTTTTGTTGCATTTGTTTAATTCAAAGAAGCTGTGATTCTTTTCCTGCAGAAGAAAAGACCAAGGTAGTCGGATAACACCTGAGGCATGATGGAGAATGAGACTCCTGACCACCTATGATGGAGGCGGCGGGGGGAGGGGAGGCTTCTTACTAAACTACTTTAGCAGGATTATCTGCTAAAATGGGGTTTGATGAAGAAGTACACAGATGGACCTAGGAGAAAGTTCGGAAGTCTAAAATTTGATCAAACGAAGAAACTTTGTTACACCCCAGTCTGTGGCTCATTGTTTAAATGTTGCTCAAGCATTACAAATCAGAATAAATTCTTGTGGACATTTATTGATTATCAACCAAGAGGTAAGTGCTTATTTATTTATCCTTAGGATTTTAATTCCTTTTAAGCCTAATAATAGGAATATATACATCTGTCATTGGTGGCAGAAACTTGCTTGTTCTGGGATTTCTCTTTTGAAGTCATGCCAAAAGAGAACCAGTTAGTAGAAATACGTTGTCTCTATAAATAAGTTTAAACGGGAGTTCCATTACTGAATATTTTATACAGCATAATTAAGTTTAAATAATGTTGCATTTATATAAAACATTTATATAATAACATTTATATTAAACGTGACCCATTTCCCCCAGTGAGGCCCTGTTTCCTAAAGGTTCCACAATATCCCCAAATAGCACAACTATATGGGAAACATGTTCAGAACATAAGCCCTCAGAACACACTTCAGAGTCAAACCAATTTGGTATTTTTGCTATTATCTGGTTCGATCTTAAATATAAATACAAATCTTTGTGCTTGCACACACACACAGTTTTCTGTTATTTTTTGTTGTTGTTGTTTTGAGATATGTCTCACTCTGCAACCTCAAATGACTAGGAACTTACCATGTGGTCCAGGCTGGCCTCACACTCATGAGAATCCTCCTGCCTTATTCTCCTGAGTACCAGGATTTACCGGTATCAGTCACCATGCCCTGGTAGGTGTGTGTCTGAGTGACTGTGTGTATGCGGGTGCATGTGCCTGTTCTCACAGAGAGGCCAGAAGACACTGTTGGAGTCTTTCTATATCTCGTTGCTTATTCCTTTGAGGCAGGGTCCCTCCTTTAACTGCTACTCATGTTTCCTCAGCTAGACTGAAACCCCAGTGATCCACTGAGCTCCATTCCCTTTGAGAGTAGGGTTGTAGTGTGTACAGGATGCCTGGCTTATTGTCTGCGTACTCAAATTCCTGTCCTCTTGATTATGCAGCAAGTACTCCTAACCACCTCTCCAGTCCCATAATATCTATTTTTATTTTAATTAACTAATTAATCAAAATGTTGGGACAGGGTCTTTCTGTAGCCCTGGCTGTCGAAGAACTCACAGAGATCTACCTGCCTTTGCCTCTTTTTTTGGGGACTTAAAGCGTGGCCTAGTTAAACTGCCTGGCCCTAGTTTTATTTTTTGTTAGTTTTACTCATTATGATTTTTTTTCAGGGATGATAGTTCAAATTTGGGATAACTTTAATTTAGAAGTTGAAAATACAAAACTGAGTCTCAAAGAAAAGATATTTGCCTAAAGCTTTTATAGTCTAAGTAGTGGGTCCAACGACAGGGTAATAGAGTATTGGACTGAGGGTCTGTCAGTCATTTGATGA